TGAAGTTGGATAAACAACTAAGTCTGGTTAATGAATGGCAGTCCAGTCAGTGTCTCCATCCTCCTGTAGGTTCGGCGGTTGAACTTGTATATGAAAGGTGATTCAACTCCATTTAATCAAGTCCTGGACCAGATCACCTTAGACCGCTGCTGGGATGAATGCATGTCACGCTCTGGATACCAGCAACGTCGAATTGCCATTGACCTCTACAACAGGTAAGAGAAAGTTATTTAGACCAAAATTTCAGTACTTTTGAGTGGATAAGAACAAGTTTCGAAGCAATTTTAGCAACGCAAGAGGTAATAATTATCCAGTCTGCATAACTTCTAAAAATGTACTTTGTGGGATGAGAGGCAAAAAGGTTTGAGAAAAGAAATAAAAACATGAAACGTACTTTTTCAAAATGATCATTTTCTGTTTTCTGGGCAGACAGAACCGATGGACCAAACGGGGAATTGCTGTTGTTCCTACCAAATTTGGCATCAGCTTCACTGCACTTTTCCTAAACCAGGTCTGATACACAAACAAACAAATAGTTTAAGTTTAAACAGTTCCTATTATTCTTTTATCGTGAGCAGCCTTGATTGGTTGTTTTGATTTGTCTTCAGGCTGGAGCTCTGGTTCATATCTACACAGATGGCTCAGTGTTGTTGACTCATGGAGGGACTGAAATGGGACAAGGACTTCACACCAAGATGGTTCAGGTAAAGGACTCCACTCATCTATTTAAAATCCACATATTTATTTCAAACATCACATTGGATGTTTGAAATAAATGTACTCTCTCTCTCCTGACCTTTGGTGGAATCACACAGAAATATTTATTACCAATTTTTCTTCATAGATAAGGACACTAAACATTAAATAGCCTCTAAAAACTTCCTTTGGAGTATCAAACGTTGCCGCTTTTATTAATTTTCTCAAGCACTTTTTAAAAAAATATTTTAAATACCTATGGTCTTTATAAAAACAGCATACAGTTTTTACACTACTGCAATTTAGTGAGAAGCTGTTCAGCCATTCAGAAGCATTCAGAACTGTCTTCGCTGTGTGTTTTCAGGTTGCCAGCAGAGTTCTGGGTATCCCCTCCTCAAAGATCCACATATCAGAGACCAGCACCAACACAGTTCCCAACACCAGTGCAACCGCTGCCTCTGCATCCTCAGACCTCAATGGTGCTGCCTTGAAGAATGCCTGTGAGATCCTGCTGAAACGTCTTGAGCCATTCAAGGCCAAGAATCCTAATGGAACGTGGGAGGACTGGGTAAACAGGGCTAAATTTGTCATAGTATTCCCATTAAATATTCATCTTTTAACTGTACTTGGTGTATTTGTGTCTGTTTACCAGGTGAAAGCAGCTTACTTTGACAGAGTCAGCCTCAGTGCAAATGGTTTTTATAAGTGAGTTCACCAAATGAATCATTGATTAACTTCATATTACAACAAAATGAAAGGTTTCACTCTTTCCCGCTTTCTTATCAGGACTCCAGATATTGGTTATGACTTTGAAACAAACTCAGGCAGAGCCTTCAGCTATTTCTCCTACGGAGTGGCCTGTTCAGAGGTGGAGATAGACTGTTTGACCGGATCACATAAGGTCTGCACCAAGTACAGCTACATTTATCTGAGTTCAAACTCTTGAATCAAATGTTTAAAACGTTTTAAGGAACTCTGACTGATTTTATCACCTCTGTCAATCTGATTAAGGTGTTTAACACCACATTTTTTTTCACTTTTTCAGTTTTTCAATTTTACTGGTAAATTCTGACTTGAGATATTTTCATGACGTATTTGTCTTACAGAACTTGAGTACCACCATAGTGATGGATGTTGGCAACAGTCTCAACCCAGCTATAGATATCGGGCAGGTGAGATATTCAAGTATTATTCATACATAAAGACAACTGATGGATCAATGAACCAATAAAAGAAACAAAAACCACATTTTTATGGTACTGATTCGTTCCTCATGTCTACATTTAGGTTGAGGGAGCATTCATGCAGGGTCTGGGTCTCTTCACCCTGGAAGAGCTTCATTATTCACCCCAGGGAGTCCTCCTCACTCGGGGTCCTGGTTCTTATAAAATCCCTGCCTTCGGTGACATTCCTACCCAGCTTACGGTCTCGTTGCTTCGTGATGCTCCTAATGACAAGGCCATCTTTGCCTCCAAGGTAAGAAATCTGGTAATGCTCAAGACAGTTTAAAAACTGATGATCCTGGATCTAACGGACTTATACTTTTTGTTTTTCCTTTCCCAGGCTGTAGGTGAGCCTCCTCTCTTCTTGGCATCTTCAGTTTTTTATGCCATCAAAGATGCCATCAGTGCTGCACGGGCAGAGTCAGGGATTACCGGGCCATTTAGATTGGACAGCCCTGCTTCTGCCGAGAGGATCCGCAATGCCTGCAGTGACCGCTTCACTAAACTGGTATGAAAATCTTGTGAAAGATCTGGCTTGACAAATCAGGCATAAAAGTTTACACTCAGTACATAAAAATGAGAGTAACTACATCGTCCATGTTCTCATTGCAGCATAACTCCAACTTTTAACAAAATACTTTTTGTGATGTTCAAGTTTCCATTAGCTTTTATTGTTAGCCTTTATGCCGACGACGGCATCCTGTCCATGAAAAGGTTTAGTGAGAATCAGGCCTTGTTACTGCTCTGGATTAACAGTTTTATTTCTTTTCTGCCCAGCTGACTCAAACTGCACTGTTGTCAGATTTGAAGAGATAGAATCCAGATAAACATGCAAAGAAAAAATTAAAAAAATCAAAAAATCAAAAGTATTTCAGCTTTGTGGGTATAAAAAAGAACGGATGAAACAAATGACAACATTTAGGTTTTACATTGTGAGATGGTTAAATCTTTTTCATGTCTTTAAAGGAGAAATTGAAAATATGCAGAAAGGTCATTTGGATAAAAGAAACTGAGAGACCTAAAACTGTTTATATTTGAACTTACCAGCTGTTTTTCTATTGCAGTGTCCTCTGGCTGAAGCAGGAACCTTTATCCCCTGGTCTGTTCAGGTGTAGGACGCTCCACTGATGATCAATCAAAAAACCTCAAGAACACATTAAGCCACGTTTAGCCTTGTTACCAGAAAAGCTCCTGAAGGACCAAATATTACCCAATTATGATAGGATTAGAATATTAGGATATCCTGGTGCTACTCTAATCATTGTCTACTGATACAGCTTTAATAGGAAAGAATTCAATATTTTTTGTTACACTTTCACTTTAATATTTCAGTTGTAATTTTGTAAACTCGGTATTAATCAAAGGGGACCTTTTCTGCATTTTCTGTTGCAGAGTATATATAATATTGCAGTGTTACAGAGCTAACGTTAGGTCATTATACAGACAAAGCACAGCTCATAGCCAAGAGCTGCTGCACTTCTCCAGCCTTTCATGACCTGTCCAGTTATTAGAATGTGAGCTTTTCTGTGGGACGGTTGTTAAAAAAGGTTTAGATAACCACCGTGACCTAATTTCCTATTGATTTGGAAAGTCCTGTTGTCAAGCCTCAACATTTTGACCACTATAGTCTTTTTTTCAAGCCAGAAGTGACCATATTTGGAACAAGAGGGAGAGCTGTACATACACAGATATGTGCTTATAGGTGCTAAATAATGCAATAAAAGTCCTGCAATTAGCAGTTAGCCAAAGAGGTCACACATTAAATAATGCAAACTTTAAGCCTCTGTTAAATTTAAACAGGCTAAAAACATGTTTATTTCAATTATAAAGCTGGACATTTTAACATAGGAGTTTATTGGGACTGACTCACTTTTAGAGCCTCACAGGCACATTAGGGGAACTGTAGGTGTTGGCTACACTTTTCAATCCCAGCAACTACTTCTTAGTTTCGCAGATGATAAACTGGGAACTACACCAAGTCCCAGTGTGAGATAAATAAGGATAATTTTGAACAGTGATTCCTAGAATTAAAAACAAGCAGAAAAGGTCCAGTTTAAATTCTGACTGCTTTGCTCGAAACAATTGTTGCAATATGAATGAAATAAACATATTAAACACATCTGTTGGTTTGGCTTTTCTTCCTTTGACTCATGTTGTCAAAGTTAACATTCAGTCGTGCAGAGCCACCACTAAAGTCCTGTAAATAAAATGATGCTGCATGTGGTTTAAAACTCAAGAATAAATCTTTCAGGGGATGAAATGTATTTCACAGAGCTCAAACATGTTTATCAATGTGACTGAAAGGAAGCACATTGAGTTGACATTTTGCTGACTGCATTAATGATCTGATTGATTGGTCTGAAAGCTGCAGCAGATTGACGTGAAGAGACTAAAGGATTCGTGCAGGTTTGGTTGGTGGTTAGAAAGTGATGGTACAAACACGCGAGCCTCATTCTTCACACACTGACCACACAATTAACATGGTGGTGACTATCAGTGAGTCTGAGCTGCTGTTACACCTGCCTGTGAAGGCCCAGCGCACCTCACCCATTAAACAGAGCTTGGTTACTTGAAATATTTATATATGTATGTGCACTACAGACACTGTAGTATGACTAAAACTGATTCACATCTAGAGTGGAGCCGTCTGAGAGGCTCAACATGGTCTAATGGACAGATTTAGACAAAGAACTTGGACTCAAAGCAGGCTATCAGAGGGGAAAGGAGCAGCACCACACTTAACACTTACCCTGCTACACATAAATGTCCCCCATTATGAGTTTGACTTGAAGTATTGGCTTCAGAATGTGCCTAAATTAAAAGGACTTTACATGTAAAATGTCCATAAGGGTTTATGTTCAAAGACTGAATGGGGAATATTTGTGTTTGTATGAATGTTTTATTTGTTAAATCGTAATGTTGAAAATCATGTATTATACTTGTGTTTGTCTGTAATTAATGTGAGGTTAATACAGATAAACTAATAACATAAAACATGAGGAGCTTGCTCTGTTGTGCAGTTACTGGTAAAACCAGCAGAGGGGGCTGAGCGGTTGTCATCGTGAGGGAGAGGTTTCCCTCTTCCTGTGGTGATAAAAGAGAGAAAGACGAGCGGAGTTCTGGTTTTGGTCCCTCAGTCTCAGATGGATTATGGCTCCCAGGAGGATGGAAACCAAACCGGCGATCTTCTGCCTGAAGACGCTGCTGCTGCTCTACTCCTTCATCTTCTGGGTAAGAAAACCTGTTCTTCATGTCTTATTTTAACTTCAGCTAAATCCTGTCTCACAATCAGATCCAAGAGCTCAACGGGTTTGTTTAAAACATGTTTAAACTGCTGAAATGTCATTGAAATCCTCAGACTGAAATAGTTTGAATAGGTGTAAATTTGATAAATTTTAGAATAAGCTGCATTAATTAAACATGCAGGTGAGTAGATAAAAACTTCAACCAATTTATCTATTTTTAAAGTGGACAAAGTCAAAGGTCATAGGATCGGTAATTATCTGGAATCTGAGGAATGAGTAGGATGAAGCCAGAGCTCTGACACCAACCTGAAAATGAAGACATGGACCTCCGGAGAGGGCACTGCTGAAACAACACCTGATAACAGGAAGCAGTCATGTCAGTAGAGCTGATCAGAATATTCTTTCTGTCTCTTTCAGGCTCAGGTCTGGTTGTCTTAGTCCAGCTCCTGTTTTGTTTCATAATCAACAGTCTGTATTTCCTAACCATCTTTAATTTGTTGTTGTTAGTTTGTCCAACTTTTCACTCAACCTTTATTTTCTAGGCCTGATCAGTTGCTCAGTCCTATTTCTTATTATTGTTCACTAGTTTGTTTGTTTTTTTCCTGGTCCCAGTTATTTCCTTTCTCAATACATTGCCCTGTTGATTAGCAGCCTAGACGTGGTTGTTTATTGTTAGTTGCTTTCCACTGTAACCCATACAGCTATATTGCCCTAGACTGATTTTTTTAAACCATTCAGGTGGTTGTGTACCATTGATTGTTACCTAATGGATTATGCTAGTTACTTTCTAGTCCTCGGTTATGTTTCTTCCCAGTTGTCCTAACAAGGCCTGAATTCTGGTGCTAATTTTAGTCCAGTCCCATTTACAGTCTAGTCTGGGCTGCTACCTGTTCCTCATTACAATCTTCTCCCAGCTGTTGTCTTTTTTTTACACAGTCCTGTTTGCAGCCCTCTGTGTAGTTTCTATCTCAGTTTGTTGATTACTCTGAGTTGATGTTTTCTAGTTGCTTGTTGCCTAGGCCGCCTTGATGCCGATGACCTAGGTTTTTCAAAGAGTCTGGCCATATCATTGCTGCAGCAGTTGACTAACACTACTATCTAGCCAGTCCACATTGTTTCCTTTTTAGCTAACTGTTGCCTACAAAACCCAGATTGTTGACTTGTCTGGTTTCTCGTCTTGTAATGCCTAAAGTTGCCATACCCTGTTGTTGAGGAGGATTCATTGTTTTGTATTCCTGATTGTTTACTTCACTGCTGTTTTTTACGGGTTGTTGCCTTGTTTGAATTGTTTGCCCAATCCTGCAAATTGGGCTACATTTGTTTTTTGACTTTTCATTTATGCTGTTAGTTTTATAGGTGATAAACATTTTCTTGTCATTGTTGTTGCTTCCTATTTATCCTAACAAGGCCTACTTTCTGTTAAGAGTTTAGAGTATCCCTACTTGTTGCCTACAGTAGTCCTGTTTTTCCCCATTTTGTTTCCTATCCCTAATTTCTAAGCAGTCTGTCCTGTGGTTTTCTAGTGCCTAAATCTGCTTAATCTACTTGTCATGAAAACAATGGTTGTGGCTGCAACAACTGATTGTTGCCTACCTCTGGCTGTATCCTAACATTGCTGGTAAGCCCCAGTTATTGACTGGTCTGTGTTGTTGTCATATAGAGTTTAAGTCACTTGGCCTAGAATGCCTAGAGATTTGGGAGCCCAAATCATGATCTTGTCCTGGTAGTTGCCTAGCCATTTTATTGCTGTTCTTTCTATTGCAGTCCAGTTAGCTGTATTGCCCAAGATATTGCCCCAGCTTTAGCTGTTGCTTAGACTGAGTTCATTGAGTTCAGCTTCTTTTCCAGTCTTGGTTGCTATTGGATTTTTAGCATCTGATCATTGTCAGGTCCTTCCTATTGCAGTGGCCCATTTGTCCTAATGAGGACTGTGTTTTGTGTGGTCTTAGAGATCTAACCAATAGCACAGACTAACTTCCTCTTGCTCTGAATGAGATTTCAGTGTTGGAGAGACTGTTTTCTCTCGATGGACGCTGACTGTAGTTCAGTCTGTCAGAAAAATTTTACCTGCTGAGTATTAAATTAAATTAAATTATCATTAAATTAATATTTAATATTGACCTTATCTGATCTATTTCTTTTCCAGATTCAAACGTTAGTCTTTCATAACAGATTTTACAACAAAATAATCTAGTGCAGAATCATGTAAGTCACATTTTACTATAAATGTCATTGTCTTTGTTGCTGGCACAAAGTAAATGATAAAGATATCGAACATTATTTCCCGCTCCATTTATTGTTGAAGTGAATCAGATTTTTTTTTAATCTTCCCAGACACAATCTGTTGTCTGCTGCACAAACACAAACTCCCACTTTTATCCCGAATCAAACCAACCTGACGTGACTCCAGCTGACAGACGGCTTTCTTGTCATCTGCGGAGTGTTTCAACATCCCAGCATGACTCCTTTTGAAACGCTCATACAGGCGCAGCAGGCAGCCCGGCACGGCCGGGAGTCAAAATCAAATGCCTCCTTCATTTATCTCCTGCCAGCAGCCAGTGCCTTTTCTCCTCTTTCATCCTGTGTCGGTCTTACTCCCAAATCTGATCAGGCGTCCTCATAAACCACCTGAACAAGACATAGTATCCAGATAGAGAGCTGGCTCATCAGAAAAATTAGTTATAAATCATGAAACTGATATTTGCATGAGAGGTCCTCAAGAGAATTTACAGTGATTTTCAAAACAAGGGAATTTCACCTTGTTAGAACCTTTTAAACAAACCTTTTAATCAATATGCCAGGTGATTTTGTTTGTACACTGTGCTCAAATATTGTTATATTTTTAGTTTGAAAGGCTGAAATCAGATCCACGGACTCATGTAGCATAGAGAAAAATTAAGAACCAAACTGCAAGAAGAAGAAGAAGAACTGCAGATTTGAATCACATTTCATATGTTTTTTGTTTTTATTTATTTTTATAATTACCAGTTTGGACAAGGAGGCTGGTATTGAGAGTTGGTGATGGTGGCCCGGGTGCTTTTAAGTGCTTTGGTAATTGTTTTTTATTGACTTTTATGATGTCTGTGGACAGTTGACTTCAAAATAAAGGCTGAGATTGGTGTTGGGAATGATATGACCTATGGACGCCTACCCTCCTCCCATTATGCCCCACAATCTTTTTCTTTTAAACACAAATATATTTAAATATATTTGTATCATTATAGAAACCTGGTCTATAAACACAAACCTACCACCTACTCTAGTAATCTCAGTGTCCATCTTGTACTACATCTACTGACAACCATTCATCCAATCCACTCTGACTGGGTGGAGCACACATTTTCACAGTGGTGTTTTTTGGGAATGTTTTTGAGGACATTCCCTGACATTAGTGCACTCTGAAACCTCTTTGCTGCTAAATTTAACTGTCACAACTAAGTGCCGAACCATAAAATGGATGCAATTATTATTGAAGACATCCGATGAGCTACCCCGGAGCACAACGAGTGAATTAAACTGGAGTGAAAACACCACTGCAGACATTATGAGTTTGTCAGAGTTACTTTTGCTCTTCTTCTGTGTGCTCTGACTGTGTCTGCAGCTGCTGAGCTAAATTCTTTCAGCTGGTTTCAGCTGTATGTAGCATCCAGTTTGTCATGGGGATGCTGGTCCAGCTTCTTTTCCCATCTGTTTGTCACTTTGTCACTTCACTGTCAGAGTCTGCAGAGACATGTGGTGCTTAATTACAGTCCCAGCTTCTGTGTGCGGTTCAACACGTCTGCTGCACAGCTTTAACTTCTTTTGCAGATTAAACTTTTGCAATAAGAATGATTTCTTTTGACTGGACAGAAAACATTGTAACTTGCTTTACGTACCAACTGTATAAAACTCAAACGCCTTTATGCTTCCTTATGAATGAATGATGAGTTTATAAGGGATCTGTGGTCATATGAGGTTCATGTCTTCATCAGCTGTTTGTGAACACTAAAGTTTTTGTTGATTTTCATTTTTATCATGGATATGTAGTCTTTTCACTAAATTACTAAATAAATAAGAAGTCTACGTCTTTTTTTGTCTCATATTATAATAAGTTATTCAATCCCCAACCAAGTAAAATGATAAAAACAGCCCAGGTCATTACCAAAATTATTTGTTACTCTTTTTCTACACTTGCACATCAGTGATTTGTCTCTAATTTGAGATTGTACTGTATAACTGTATATTTAAATGCTGCTTTTGTCCAGTTCTTCAAAATAGCCACTAAATATAGCAACAGGCATATCATCATAAAAATGATGTTAGCTAACATAACATATATATTTTAAAAAGAGAGAAATTCGCACTAATAAACCATCTACCAAAATGTTAGTGGGTTATTTTGTTTTTGTTTTTTTAATAGAGCAGTTAATACAATGAACTGAAATAGATTAAAATGCAAATTACAATCAATCAATGTAGTGTTTTTAAGTTTTTCTTTTCTTTTTCTTTTACACTCATTTTTTTAAACACTCCTTCAGGTGACAGGGGTGGTCCTGCTGGTGGTGGGGTTATGGTGGAAGTTCATGTTGGGTCCCTACATGTTGCTGATCTCTAGCAGCCCTTCCAGTGCTCCCTACGTCCTCACTGGCACCGGCGCTGCCATTGCCCTGTTCGGACTGTTCGGCTGTTTTGCCACCTGTAGGGGGCGTCCTTGGATGTTAAAACTGGTGGGTCTTCCAGCTTACTCGGAATTTGTTAACAAATGTCTGACTAAACCTTTTATGAGTTTTGTTTTTTTTATGTGACTAAAGGTTTCAAAATTAAAAAATCTCTGCTAACTAATATATCTATCAAGTTTTTAAGTTTAATGACCAGTTAACTTGCTCATTCCGTATGGTGTGACTCCTTGTCCAACCTCATGACCTTTGATCTCTCCTCAGTACGCAGTGTTTCTGTCTCTGGTCTTCATGACTGAACTCATTGCTGGGATCTCTGGATTTGTCTTTCGTCATGAGGTCAAAACACACTTGAGAGTTTTCAGAATACCTTCAAAAAACACAGCTGCTCATTCTGACCAATATCTGTCTGTGTTTGCATGTTTAGATTAAAGGGACATTCCTCACTGCCTACAGTGCAGCAGTGATGAGATACGACGGACGAGATGACAGGAGTGTGGCAGTGGATGGTGTCCAACGCAGAGTAGGTGTTTTCCATGATCCACTCATTAATGTTTCGTAAGTAGTATATTGGAAACTAAAAAGTTACCTCTAAACTTGCCAAGTATCTTAATAAAAGAAGCAACTTTTGGGTGGTCCCTTATTCACAAAGGGTCACCACGGGAGGAAGTGGCACGTTTTATGCTGGTTGCCCTTCCTGACATAACCCCAAAGGATTTTGTGTCCTCTACTGAGACCAAACCAGGGATCTTTTACTTGTCAAGCTAAAGTCCAAACTGCTAGTCTATGGAGCATTTTACCTTATTACCAACACCTACATTTGTTCTTTCTTTTGGGTGTTCCTCAGGGTCATATTGTTGGTCTCTTATAGTTTTAACTTTTAAACAACCCTCTGTGGCATTAATTTTATTTTATTTCTTTAGAGAGCAAATATTTCACTTTACTTCTTGCAAGCCTGTCGGTCCCTATTCATGGATCAGTCAACAAAGTTGTCCTCCCCTTGTTTTACTAAAGGCAATAAGGGGTACCAAAAATGTCAGTGTCACTGTTATATATACATACACACACATATACACACTCCTGTGGTAGCAATCAAATATATTTCAAATATTGATGCACATGTTTTATTAATGCAGTTATTCAAACATATAAAAATGATATAACTACTTTTATTTTATTAAATATGTCTCATGTCATTAAAGAACTACGGAGCCCCGCAGGGGACATGGGAGAAAAAAAAATTAAGACGGACTTTTGCGAGATCTCGCAAAACTATCTCGGGATCTCGCAAAAGTTTTAGCCGCATTCTTCCCGTTAGCTCGAAGCTAACGGGAGGTCGAGACCTACTACAGCCGGGAGGAATACTGCTTTCCCGGCACATCGTGCCTCGACCTCCCGGTCGGCTTCGAGCCAGCGTCCGAAGAATGCGGCTAAAAGTTTTGCGAGATCTCGCAAAAGTTTTGCGAGATCCCGAGTTAGTTTTGCGAGATCTTGCAAAAGTCCGTCTTAATTTTTTTTTTTCTCCCATGTCCCCTGCGGGGCTCCGTAAAGAACAAAGATTTTAAGGGTTGGTGTGATAACTAAATATGCAGTCTGCATGAGGACAATAACATACAATAGAGATAATTAACTTCCTAATTAAAAACAAACAAACAAAAAGAAGCAAAAGGAACAATGTCAGAGACTTCATAGGCAGAGAAACTTGCTGATATGTCCAGCGTTCTTTTATGCAGATTTTACACTGATGACGTCTTTCACACATTCAGAAACAAACATGATGAGATGTTGAAAAGTGGTGATTTGGTTGTCTCTGTTTCTTCAGTTACACTGCTGTGGAGTTTATAATTACACCAGCTGGTTCAGCAGTGTGTATTTTCCCATCAGTGGGATTCCTACCAGCTGTTGTGTTCATGTCTCTGACTGCAATGAAGCAGACCTGAAGAACACCACTCTGGCAGCACAGAAGGTCTACAAAGAGGTCAGGAAGGCACAAATAATACATGAAGAAAATTCAGTTCCCAAAAGTTTTCATTTGCATTTGCTTTTCTGTGGAGATTATTAAGATTATTATAATTATTAAGTCTAACAACCACAATTATGCTAAGTGGTCACATGATGGTGATCCATCAGTCTGTATTTACTGCAAATCACTTTTTCCTGTCTCCGCAGGGTTGCTATGAGCTGGTTGTGTCCTTCATAGAGAGCAACATGGGAATCATTGCTGGAGTTACCTTTGGTATTGCCTTCTCTCAGGTACTAAACATGGCCTTTGGAATCAATAGGAGACAATAGGAGACAGTGACACTGAAGCAGAAATAAAATCCATCTCTCTGTGTGTTTTAGCTGGTCGGTGTAACTCTGGCCTGCTGCTTGTCTCACTTCATCAACAGCAACCAGTACGAGATGATCTAACAGGTAATCCACACGTCCCCGGCACTAACCTATCACTTTCTGATGGACACTAACTAACCAACCAAGGTGTAGCGTAACTAACCAAAGCTACACTTAACCCACCTGAAAGTGAGATCTAACAACAAAAGTATCCTAAACTAGAGTGTTTATGCATAGGAAAAAATATAATAGGAATGTGTGCATAAAGCATAAAACACAGCTTTGGTAAGAAAGTACTTACCAGTGGAAAAGGGCTATATAAGTCGCAAATCTAGATCTTAACCTACTTCTAACTCATATCTACCTTACTTCAAACCTACATGTAGACCTTGAACTAAACCTAACTTACATCAAACACAGAGAACCTAGCCCAAATCTACACTTAAAACTACCCCAAACCTAGAGATACACAACCAATGCAAGTCTAGATCTTGACCTAAATCAAGCCTAACTAATACAAACTGAGACCTTCACCTATACAAAACATTAACCTTTACCCAACCTATATAACCTTTCACAATCCTACATCTAACCTGACCTACCTCAATCTACCATCTACCCCAAGACTATACCTTAAACCTACTCCTAACCTAAACTACACCTTACCTGCGGGGATAGCTGGGGGCAGGGATAGCTCAGTAGGTAGAGTGGTTGCCCCATGATCGGAAGGTCGGGGGTTTGACTCCACTGAACGGCTACCCTGAGGTACCGTCCCTACACACTGCTCCCCGGGTGCTGCATTGGTGGCTGCCCACTGCTTCACTGGGTGAATGGGTTAAATGCAGAGGAGTAAATTCCCCATGGGGACTAGGACATACACATTATGACATTATTATTATTATTATTATTATTATTATTATTATCTCAAACCAAGCTAAAACCTAAAGCTACACCTAGCCTACCCCAAGACTCAACATTAAACTTACTCCCAACCTAACTCCAACCTCATAACTATATTTGATGTACCCCCAACATAGACCTACACCTAACTTACACTAAAGCTGAACACACCCAACTTTAATCTAAAGTTTACCTGACCACATTCTCAATTCTTTAAGTGAATGTAAAACAAGCATGTGCTGTTGTTTACCTCCATCTCCTTTGTCTGTGTTTTCTTTTGCAGGAAAGTGAATAAGATGTACATCACCATGGAAACCTTAGGAAAAACACACACATACAAACACGCACTGTTAGCATTCCTCTTGTATTTATTTTGTGTCTTTCTGTGAAATACTCAAAATTGACCCCTTTGTGTTCTCTCTCTTTGTGTTGTTAGGATCTTTCTTTGTATGTGTGTCAGGCTCAGGTCCTGAAAAAACCTGTTGTCAGTAACAATCATATTCAGAAAGCCCTCTTAGGGGCACCACAACACTTGAAAGGCTTTCACATTTTTAGGTTAAAGTTGAAATTTGATTCTGTGGCAGTGTGCTGTGTTTGAAAGACGTGTTGTTCATGTTTCATATTCTGTGTACTGTGATGTGACAGATTTTATATTTCTGTTTTCTGAATGACAAACTCACTGATAACTATTTGAGACATGCAATGTTTTCAACAAAATAAATGAGGCTGCATGTTGTGTCGATAAATCCAACATAAGAAAACCTTACATGTAACATGTCACTTTACCTTGACATAATAGCATCACACAGTTGCTGCAGCTTTGTCAGCTCCACATCCATGTGAATCCATCCACAAGAATCTCCTGTTTAACCACATCCCCAGAGGTGCTCCATTAGATTGAGGATCTGGTGTCTGTGGAGGCCAGTGGAGTACAGAGAACTCATTGTCAGATTCAAGAAATCACTTTGAGATATAGTTTCGTGACATGGTGCGTTTTCCTAATGGAAGAATTATTAGGATAGTTAACAATACTTAGGTAGACTGTGGCTTTTAAACAATGCTCAGCAAGAAAATATCCATCACACCTTTACACCAGAAAAAAACTAAACCACTGATACAAAGCTGGAGAGACCCTTTCTTGCATGTCATTCATCAAATTGTAAACCCACCATCTGAATACTAAAGCTGCTATCTTCTTGAGCTATTTTGTCTTGGAGAGCAATCATATGTTCAGAGTCGCTTAAATCAACTTTCTTTTCCCTTCTCATGCTCACTTTGAACTTCAGCAGGTTGTCTTGATTATTTTATACATGCCTAAATGCATTAGTGCCATGTGATTGGCTGATAAGATATTTGTATTAATAAGAAGCTGACAAGTATACCTACTGCTGTTTGGCATTATTTAAAAAAGAGCATCCTGGTAATAAACTAAAATACACAGTGAAAATAAATACTTTATGGCTGGGGAAGAATTCAGTCGTAATATAATGTGGAGCCAGACGGGGGCAATGTTTTACACATCCATCCATTAGAGACAGACCACCATAATCGCACATAACACACAATTTAGGATCACCAGTTAAGCTAGCATGCATGTTTTAGAACTGACTGTGGGGAACCAGAATTCCCTGAGTGGATCCATGCAAACACGTTAAAACATGTGAAATAATCTTTAAAATAGTCATTTGTGGAAATGAAAACAATAGCATGAGATTGTGAAAACCTTCCTCATATGGAATCAGAAACTTCTAGTGAGTTTTAAAAGTTGTAATATTTTAAATTAAATTTGTAATGAACATTTAGTAACATCATCCTTGACTCCTTTGAAATATAATCTAGTCTGATTTTATAATCATTATCATTATATATATTATTTGATCTATATCTTTTGATTTATTTGAGCTACCTTACTAAGTCCTGATGTACTAAATAAAGGACATCTTGGGCTTTCCGTTGATATCTGATGTGTTTGGGTGGTCTCTGTTACCTCCAAATAGGAAGGAAATCACAAAAAACGTTTCATGGGAAGATTCTCTTTTCCTGGGTTCTCAGGAGGATATTGATGTTTATTTGTTTGTTCATACAAAAGTAACATTTATTTCTCCCCAAAGAGGGGGGGACAAGGTTGCATCAGTCAAAACGTGAAAAACAATATAAAATAAAACAAAGTCTTAATAATATATTTAAATTTTAATGTAACTACTGTTTTCGTTGTAAACCTTAAATGTAAATAAATATATTATTTCCAAAGCTTTATTTTTATTCAAGTCAGTTTATAAACAATGCAACACTATCCGACGTTCTCCGTGACGTCACACCCTCTGTGATTGGCTGTGATCGTGATCCCATGTTTTGCTCCGCCCCGACTCTCCTGCCTCCCTAACAACCACCACCGGCCCGACCGTCTACAAGATCCCTTTTCCGGACAGCTTTAACGGGCAGAAGCAGCGACTTGGTACCCAGGAACCACAGCCGACATACAGTAAGCTGACGTAGGCGCACTGCCGCCGGTGTTTACCCGTTTTAAAAGTAGACTTAGCGAGCTAACGGTACCCGGAATCACCCGCTGGCTGGGGTGGCGAGGCTAATAAGAGCAGCTGTGCGGTCATTTGTTCCGGTTAAAATGAAGATTCGAGCGGTGTAAGCGTCGCTAATTCACAGTTACATAGACTGGAAGGATGGTTTATTGGTCCCGCCTGTTCAAAGGTCCCCTGGTTTAGCTTTAGAATGAAGCAGGTAGAGGCCGGTGCTTTTATCGGACGGCGCTGTGATTTCCCCTTCATTTCCGTGTTTTCTCCTGCAGACCCCCCCTCCTCTGCCCGGGCTGCCACCGCAGGTGTTCACGCTGTTTTTAAAAAAAACGTTGCCAGCACCTCACGTTTATTTGCATGCGAGGCTGTGGCTGTGCAGCACAGAGAGATTTAAATAATGCAAACCGATCTTCAGCAGCAACAGAGGTGGCTGAATATGAAGTGAGTAACGGCGGTGAGGCGGGGGGAATCCGATGTCCGATAATGGATGCAGGATATACTGTTAAAGCTGGCTAGTTCCCCCATCCCTGAGCTTTGTAGTTAAGTCATGAAGGCCTCAAATGACCCTGCAGATGTCATGGGTGTCCAGCATGTTCAGGACATCTCCTGGACATGCTGGGTCTCCATTTGAAGCTGCTTCATCCTTCCTCCTCTTCCTTTTGTGTTTTTATATCAGGTTTATGCCTCTGGGGTCAGCTGGAGTCCTGCAGCAGAAACAGGGGGCCCTCAGCTCAGGAGCTGGCCCATTTTGGAGCAGTGAGTGCCTCCGCAGTCTCTCAGTAATCCTTTAAGGAGCATTAGCGGGCTAAGTTTGGCGCTGCGACCGCTGGCCAACACGGGCCCTCAACAGCCGCCGTCATGCAGATACCTGACTCCTACAACCAGAAGAACTCGCTCTTCAACGCCATGAACCGCTTCATTGGCGCTGTCAACAACATGGACCAGACAGTGATGTTGCCCAGCCTGCTGCGGGACGTCCCGCTGGACGACAGGGATGACCTGAAGCCGACAGAGAACGGGGATGGTGGGGATGACGGTGGTGGCACAGGTAGCACCAGCCCCACTCACGACAGCGCCTACTTCCAGCCTGATGCTGACATGTACAGCTCATACATCCTGCTTAAATCCATCCGCAATGACATCGAGTGGGGCGTCGTGCACGGCGAGGAGTTGCGGAAGGAGAAGGCGGGTGTGGCCAGCATGGTGGTGGCAGAGGAGGATGACCTGGAGAAGCAGTTTCACTTCCACCTGAATGGACTCCACGCGGTTCTGTCGAAACTGACGCATAAAGCTAACACACTGACGAATCGCTACAAGGAGGAGATCGGCTGCGGGAACTGAGCGCTGAATGTCCTGACGGTTGGCGCTCTATGGGTTTTAGCTCAGTAACTACAAGCGAAGGAAGGAGCATGTGCAGACGCCAGATTTCACTTAAAAGCTTTTTCACAGCCTACAGTGGTGGATATCATTGTGTTAAATTAACTAGCCAGTCCCAAAAACGGTGAATAAAAATATCTGCAGATTGATTGTGTGACTGGAACAATTTGGGCATTTTTTGTCAAATAATGAGAACTACAATTTTAATAACAGTTATTCAGTCAACTGAGACCTTGTAAGGGTCGTTAAATCATCTTAAATGCCACGTTTTTGTATTCACCGGCAGCTTTTTGGATCTCATTTTGGCACCTGCACTGATGCTGACTTCATTCATTATAGCCGATTTATGCTTTGGTCTTTTTGAAGAGACTTGGCAGGGACATCAGTATATGTCACTAAGCACAAAGCTGATTCAAGCTTTAAAATTCTGAATTAAGTCTGGATCTGTGCTACTAAACAGTAAGTCAGTACAGTAATGAATTTGTAGAGAATGTTTTCACATGAAATCAAATCACCTCAAATTAATACGTTTAAGAGATAGATGATGGGTATGCAGGAGAAGGACAAAGGATTTAAAATTGATTAATTTTGAATATTTGGGTGGTTTCATCAGAAGAAATCTGTTGCACTTCTAAACTACTGTAAACAAACATAACCTTAAAAAAAAACCCTAAACTAAACAATTTTAAATGAAATAGGATCCTGGTGTAATCCCTGTGGAATGCCACTGAGCCAAAAATGTGTCTCTGATTCCAATAACTCTTTCTTTGGCATACTTTAAACACCTGAATCCACTGTTTGTCTTCTGGATATGACATCTTGTTAAGATTCGGCAGATTAGAGTGACTCTGCTCTGACCTCCCTACAGCAGTTTGTAGTTAAAGAGCTAAAACATGTTTTTCATGGACTTCCCTTTTTTTTTTTTTTTTTTTTTTTCCCTTGAAGACTTCGTCGAGGTGGTGGGCTGCTTGCATTCTATTTTCAGGGTTGACGTCTGTCCGTTTAAAAGAAACAAAAATAAAAAATCTCCTGACATCCTTCATTTCATGCTGCAAATTCCAAACTATGCAAACACACGAGAGCACAAAAGAAGCTGGCTTGACATTTCTGTACAGCTTTAGACGCACAAAAAGGAGAAAATATGAATCCTTAAATTTCCCAATCGTAATAAGAACCCAGTTCTCATGGTGCATGATCGTTCATAACCTGTTAACATGTCCTGACAATCGATTGTAACCAGACCACAAATTCTCAGTTCTTTGGTTTAACTTAAATGTGGAAGTTCTGATATTTTAAAGATGCCACAGTTTGTCCATTTATTAGAGGACTAAAGCACCTTATTTTTAAAATTTTAAGGAGTTTGGCAGAAACCCATTGTTTTTGTCTGGTTTCAGCTGAATAAAAGAGAAGGTGTAATGAATGGTTATTGGCTGATTTTTGAACTGAACTTAAAGAAGCGAATGTTTTGTTTGTCGTCTCAAAGCTTTGTTAATGAATTGAACACTGTGCTTGATGGTCGATGACATGTGAAGGCGTTCTGGAGTCTGTGTATGTATGTGTGTGTGAAGAATGCTGGGTGTACATATACTGATGTTTATTGGTTTTTCTATTTCTGTCCAGTTTGACCATTAAAAGATTTTGGTGTGTATTTTTGGTCTTTTCGTTCATCAAAACTTACTGAACACATTTGGAAAAAAATGGTTTCCGTATCGCTGCAACCATCTACAGCTCCAGACCACGTGTTACCATGTCAGCATGCCGAAGAAAGGTGACTGTGTGACGTTTTCTGTTCTCATTTCTGTCTCTGCGCTCGAAACAGAGCTTCTTC